CAGAGGCTCGGGTGATGTCGGGGACGGGGTGGGCGACAGCGATGTCGAGGTTGTCGCAACGGTATAGAGAGCGCCACCCAAAAGGATGCGGACAGTTATGGAGGTCTCTGAGCGGAGGGCGAGCGGCACGATATGAAAAGGCAGGGCGTGGCGGATGGAGAAAGAAGTATCGAGGAGGCCATGGTGGAGGGGAGGGACGGGAGGGCGAAAGATGGGCGAGGAGGGGGAGCGGCCCGCACAGGCCGCGAGCAGACAGCGCGTGCTGGCCATCTCGAGACATTCGCAAAGAACGCTAGCTACATGGGAGGGCTTTGTGAGGGATGGATTGAAAAACATTCGAACAAAGAAGAGGCGACGGGAGGAACCGGCAGAGGATGCAGTGACGTGACACACACACACACACACACACACACACACACACACACACACACACACACACACACACACACACACAAAACACACACACACACACACACACACACACACACACACACACACACACACACACACACACACACACACACACACACACACACACACACGGCGGACCCGGCGTGAAAGAGCTATCGACATCGACCTTGACCCAGCCGATTCCACCGATGTCGACGCCATCACCTCCGCGTCCGCAGCTACCGCGCTCTCGCTCGACGACACCGTGGAGAATCACACCGAGGACGGACAGAAGACGACAACACGCTCGAGCGACACAAAGAAACACAAACTCCCAAGAGCACCTGTGAAGTATCGTACACGATGTACTCCTGGCCGCTGGAAACCGCCCTCGCGATGCAAACGGAGTCGAAGCCCATCGAGCACAGCTTGGTGCGGGTCATGCTTCGGTCACCGCCCTTCTCGAGCGTGTGGATTTTGCCCCAAGTGCACATACGCCTTGAGGATGGTGCCATGGGCGTGGGCCTTGTGGCCGGTCAGCTCCTTTGTCGTCGCAAAATAGATGCCGCTGCCCGCGAGGCCGGTGCTGCCCGGCTTCATCTGCTGCGTGCGTGCGCAGAATGATGTTTGCGGTCTGCGCGTCCGTCTGGTGGAAGAGTTCGGTGCCAGCCTGCTCGACGGTGAGGTGCGCGAATCCTCCTGCGGTCTGCCCCGTGCGTACGAAGTGGATCTGCTTAATGGGGTCACACCAGGAGCCGCGGGACGCGTCGAAGGTCCAGGTGCTGGATCCCCAGGTGCTGTTCTCATAGAAGGACGTCTCGCCCGAGACGGTGATTGGAATATTACCTGTGGGTCGATCGGTACCGGGTTTGTCTGAGCGCTTCACCTTCAGGCAGGCAGTCAGGTAGAGCAGAGCAGTCGCTTACCAAAGCGCGAATGGTGGTAGGTCTTCTCACCGATGGTTATGGTGTCACGAGAGTGGCTGAAGGTGCCTTGTGGGCTGCAGCTGCGATCCCCATTTTGCTGAAGGTCGGTATCTGCGAGAATGCGAGGAGGACATGAGAGAGCTGATTCGCTCGCTTTGGCGGAGAGATGATTCGCTGCGGCAGCGTGCAGGGTGGTGCGTCCAGTGACGAGCGGTGGGGAAGCTAGCGGATGGCGGACGGAGGGCGCGACGGGGCGATGCTGAATGTGGTTCACCCGTGAGTGCGAGACGCGAGTGCTCGACCGTGCTAGGAGCCGTGGCGTCTCTCGAGGTCTCGAAGAAAACGTCAAATCATACTGGGATTTTTTCTTATAAAAGGAAAATCTTTTTTCGCAGCGTGGAAGGCCTGTCACTGTCGCTCATGCTCTTGTCACGCGCGCTCACTCGGATCGGTGTCACTCGGATCGAGAGAGAGAGAATTCTTGATACGAAACCACGACGACACACACCAGTCGACTCGCATCGGTTGCCTCCATGAACGGCGGAGCTATTCTCGCGCCCACACCACACCTGGCTCCAACGTGGACACGCCCATAGCTGGGGACACTACTAGGTCACGCATGGCATCACAGAAGTTTTATCTCTGGGCCCCGAAAGGCATCTCTAGCAGTGTCGTTACACATGCCCCCTCCCCTCCTGGGCGCATGCGCCTCACGTCTCGCCAGAGCATAAGCCCTTGGCGTGTGGCGAGACGAGTTTTTCGCCATCGCAGCGAGCAGCAAGCCGCCCGCCGCAAACAGCCGGAGGCCTCGCCGCGGCACTGGCTGCGCCGCGGTCCCGCACCCGTCGACGCAGCTCCCCCCGCGGAAGACCGCGCGTAGCAACGTCTTGACGATCGAGATGAGCGTGCCTGAAGCTCGCCCACCTACTGCCTCTCTCTCTCTCTCTCTCTCTCTCTCTCTCTCTCTCTCTCTCTCTGTCACTCGGATCGTGTCACGCGCGGCGACGCGCACCCCGCGCGCCAGTCAGCGCACTGGTAGTACTGCACCAGCCAGCACAGCGTGGCGCAATGCACCGATGGCATTGTGCTGGGCGCCATGCCTCAGGACAGAGCGAGAGAGCCTGCTGCGCACCCTGGCGCAGCACCAGCTCGCCTCCAATCAGGCGCTCTCACCACTGCACAGCCGTCCACGAGCACCCGCAGCTGCACTGCTCAACGCTCAAGCTCAGGAGCCTCCCCTTGTTGTCGCAGCTTTGTGCAGTGCAGCGTGCGAGCAGCGCAGTGCCAGGCCGACCTCTGGCACGCCCGGGCGGCTGTGGGACGGAGGCCCGCCGAGCGAGTGCGAGCCGCATCGGCGGCCATGTCTCGCTGCCGCGAGCGAGCGGCGCAGAGAGGCAGCATGCTTTCCGATGCGCGTTTCTTCTTTTCCGCGCATCCTGTTTTCTTAATGCCCGCTTTTCACCGCCCCAAGGCCTACAACAGGTAGGCACCCATATTTTCGTCTTTTTTCGCTTCGAGCCTTGCGAACCGCCGGGGACCTTCGGCGCCCAGTCTCCGCCTTTCCACGCAATGTGGGTCCACATCCGCGTCCCCGGCCCGGGCGGCGTGTGGGAGGGAGCGAGCTACGAGGTTGACAAGACGCTGCCCGTGATTGGCTTCAAGGCGCTCGTGGCGGACTGCCATGCGGCCGTGAGTAACATGGACGACCTGAGGCTGCTCTTCAAGGGGCGCGCGCTTGGCGACGGCGGATCCTTGGAGGAGGCGGGCGTCGAGGATGGCGCCACCCTCCACTGCACGCTCGCCTCGCGCCCGGGCGGCGCTGCCGCTCTGCCGGCTGCGGCACAGACGCTCGGGCCGCCGCCGCCGAGCGCCGAGTCGGCGCTTCTGAACAACCCGCTCGTCTCGTCGATGCTCGAGTCGCCGGAGGCGCTGCAGATGCTGCAGGGACAGATGATGAACAACCCGCAGATGCGCAGCATGCTCGAGGCGAACCCAGAGATGGCGCACGTGCTCAACGACCCCGCGACGCTCCGCCAGTCGCTGCAGACCGCGCGGAACCCGCAGCTGATGCGCGAGCAGATGCGCTCCACAGACCGGGCCCTCTCCAACCTGGAGGCGCACCCGGACGGATTCAACGCCCTCCGCCGGATGTACTCGACGGTGCAGCAGCCGCTGTACGAGTCCATGGCGGGCGGCGGCGCGGAGGGCGACGAGGGGAGCGGCGGCGGCAGCAGCAGCAGCAGCAGCAGCGGCGCACCGGGCGCCATCAACACCACCCCGCTGCCCAACCCGTGGGCACCGCGGCCGCAGGCTGCAAACCCTCTGATGGGGTTTGGAGGATGGGGGGGTGCGGCTGTCGAGTCCTGTGAAGTCGTAACGAGCAGTGCTCGCTGTTGATGAATAGGTTCGGAGGGATGAACGAGGCCCTCGAGGCGGCGCGGCGGGAGGAGGAGGAGAGGCGACGGCCCGCCGGACAGTGAGGGGGCGGACAGCCCTAGCTTTTCCACGGGCAGCGGGGCGAAAGGGGGGGGGGGGGGGGGGGGGTTTTCCCCAAAAAATCCTCCGCGTGGCTTCCTCCCCTCCATTGGCAGGGGGGAGGACCCCACTTAGGCGCCCCCGCCCCCTTTGGGCCAGTTTTTCCCCCCCTGGGCCCCTTGG